GGGACTCAGGGTGGTTTCCAACACATATGGCAAACATTGAATGCCAGCAGAGAAACATATTAACAAATTAAATCAAAACAAAACACATCAAACAATATAAAACAGGCTAACTATAATGTTAGAACCAAATAAAAGTTATTATGGGAGTGGTAGCCCAACAATCTAAGCTTTTAGTGAGCCACCATTCCCAATCTCTGCTTCAAAGAAATCCAGCCCACTGAGCAATTTACCAGATGCATCCTATATAACTAACCTCTTCACCAGAAAAGCACAACTCATCTCTATTATCCTTCCTTGTTTGTTTATTTAGATATAGGTTCCTCAAGTCCAGCATCTGTTTTGCAACAATAGCCTCTGATTAATTCTTCTTACGCTTCACATTTATGTCTCACCTCTCCTCCCAAGGGTTTGAAGTGGAAGGCATGGTTCCTCCTCCTCCCATTCTATTGTCACAACAACTACCTTGTGAGGTTGTTGAAGCTCAAAAGGACAATACCTTCCATAGCTTTGGAGAGACTTGAGCCTAAGTCCTCTAACACTTCATCCACTACACCAGTGGTTCCCAAGCTTTGCTTCTCCAGGTGCTTTGGACTTCAGCTTCCAAACTGACCAAGCTGGCTAGGGCTTCTGGGAGTTGCAGTACCAAACACCTGGAGGACAAAAGGTGGAGTAATACAGCACTACACCAATACCGACTTTCCAAACCGATGCCTTGGAAGCAGAGTTGGGAGCTGTGAAACAAGAAAGGAATCTTCCCAAGCTCTGCCACGAAGGCGATAAGCAGGGAAACAACCCTGTCTCCCATTGCGACTGAGAGTCAACAAAGTTCGATCTAAACCACAACCAGTGCTAACTTATTTTTCTTGCAACCATTTATGAGGGAGAACGGTGATGCCATTAATCCCACCCATTAAGCTTCAGAGAATTATGGGAACGGACCTCAAGTTTCCTTAACCTAGCAGTGAAAGTTCCATCCAAATAACCTATTCAAGGATGCATCTACATTGTACAATGAATCCAGTTGGACACCACTTTAACTGCTGCAGCTCCATTGCCATTGAATCCTGAGAGTTGCAGGGTTACAAGGTCTTTACTCTGCCAAGGAGCACTGGTGCCTTACCAAACTATGTATCCCACGATTCCACAGCTCTGAACCACAGTGGTGAACAGTGATGTCTAACTACATTCATCCTACAGCAGATCTTTCCAAATTGTGTGTCACGACATGTTCTTGTCTCAGCTGCGGTGTGTAGGTGTGTCATGCGAACGTCACAAGAAACCTCTTGAGTCTATGTAAAATAAGCAATAAATCATATATATTTTCAAAAAAATACAAATGGAAGTTTTCATGAAAGATGCTGTGTTCCCATACATTCCATAATAACAATATTGCTATGTATCTCTTATGAGGGGCTGGTTTACCCTCCGGTTTGCTAATATAACTAAATTACTGTGTTGCAAAATGATGCATGTCTAAAAGGTGTGCCACCAACATAAAATGTTTGGAAAGCTCTATTCCAAGGTAAAGGTTGTCCTCTGACATTAAGTCCAGACATGTCTGACTGGGGTGTGGTGCTCATCTCCATTTCTAAACCGAAGATCCGGCGTTGGCCGTAGACACCTCCAAGGTCATGTGGCCAGCATGACTGCATGGAGCGCCCTTAGCTTCCCGTCGGAACAGTACCTATTGATCTACTCACATTTGTATGTTTTTGAACTGCTAGGTTGGCAGAAGCTAGGGCTGACAGCGGAAGCTCACGCCGCTCCCCGGAATCGAACCTGCGACCTTTCGGTCAACAAGCTCAGCAGCTCAGTGCTTTAACCCACTGCGGAGTTGCTGTTCTATAGTGTAGATAAATCGTATGAATGTCCCCAGTCCAGTACAGAGTATCTGAAAGAGAGAATGGCACATGACTGGACCCTGCCTTTCACCCATACTGGGCCCCTGGGTGCATCTACACCAGGGGTCCTCAAATTAAGGCCCGGGGGCCAGATACAGCCCTCCAAGGTCATTTACCTGGCCCTCGCTCAGGGTCAATCTAAGTCTGAAACGACTTGAAAGCACACAACAACAACAACAACAATCCTATCTCATCAGCCAAAAGCAGGCCCACACTTCCCACTGAAATAATAACAAGTTTATATTTGTTAAAATTGTTCTTCACTTTAACTATTGTATTTTAAGTGGTTTTTTTGCACTACAAATAAGATATGTGCAGTGTGCATAGGAATTCATTCATGTTTTTTTCAAATTATAATCAGGCCCTCCACAGTTTGAGGAACAGTTTGAGGAACTGTGACCTGGCCCTCTGTTTAAAAGATTTGAGGACCCCTGATCTACACTGTGAAATTAATGCCATTTGACCCTACTTTTAGCTGCCACGGCGCAATGCAGCAGAATCCTGGAATTTGTAATTTGGTGAGGCAGCATGACTATTTGCCCTCACCTGAACTGCCATGGACTCAATGCTATGAAAACATGGGAGTTACATAGTTTGGTGAGGCACCAACCATCTTTTGGAAACAGAAGGCGAGAAAATAACTCTACAACTCCCATCAACCTACTGCATAGAGCCGTGGCATTCCAAGTGGGGCCAAACTGCATCAATTCTACAGAATGACCAGTGTTGTTTTTGTTGCTGTTATTATTCTGTTCATTTATACCCTGCTTTTTCTCTCCACAAGGAGACTCAGAGGTGTAGGTTAAAAACATTTCAATATGACTTAAAATCTACAAATATTAACACATTAAACAGAATTAAACAGAATTCACACAGCCACATAACCCAGAATATCAAGGCAAATAATCCACAATATCTGCTTTGAACTCGTTTATCTGAGTCCACACTGTTCTGTTTTATTCTGAGTTTTATCTTCTTGTTACATGTTTATATGCTTTATTCAGTTGTATTTTATATTGTGTTTTATATCATGTCTTGATTTAGGCACCTTGTACCTTGTGTAAGCTGCCCCAGTCCCTTCAGGGAGATGGGTGTGGGATATAAGAATAAAGTTGTTGTTGTTGTTGTTATTCAACATGCATTTTATACAGCTGTGTGGAAGGGGCCTGAGTTCCCTCCCAGAACTGTGCCATTGCAGTGAAAGTGGAACCAAAGTGCATCAATCCCAAAGTGTGGATGCACCCCTTGAGCATGGAGATGGGAGCTGTAGTTTGGAGGAGCACAGACACTCTTGGGCAGAGAAAGCCCAAGACCTGGTACAAGCCACAACTCCTATCACTGTACTGTAGTTTGAACTGCGACCGAGCTGCATTAATTACAATGCAGGTGCATCCCTTGAACATGAAGACGGGAGCTGTAGTTTGGTGAGGTACTCTTGGGCAGAAAGAAGCTAGAGGCCTGGTAAACAAAACTAAAGATCCCATGATCTCATAGCATGGCAGTTTAAAGATGGGAGCTGTAGTTTGGTGAGGCAATCATGGGCAGAAAAAAGCTAGAGGCCTGGTAAATAAAACTACAGATTCCATGATCCCATAGCATGGACCCATGGCAGTTTAAAGATGGGAGCTGTAGCTTGGTGAGACACTCTTGAGCAGAAAGAAGTTAGAGGCCTGGTAAACAAAGCTACAGACCCCATGATCCCATAGTATGGGGCCATGACAACTTAAAGATGGGAGCTGTAGTTTGGTGAGGCACTCTTGGGCAGAAAGAAGCTAGAGGCCTGGTAAATAAAACCACAGATCCCAGGATCCCATAGCATTGAAGTTTARAGATGGGAGCTGTAGTTTAGTGAGGACTCTTGGGCAGAAAGAAGCTAGAGGCCTGGAAAATAAAACCACAGATCCCAGGATCCCATAGCATGGAAGTTTAGAGATGGGAGCTGTAGTTTGGTGAGACACTCTTGGGCAGAAAGAAGCTAAAGGCCTGGTAAATAAAACCACAGATCCCATAGCATGGCAGTTTAAAGATGGGAGCTGTAGTTTGGTGAGGCACTCTTGGGCAGAAAGAAGCTAGAGGCCTGGTAAATAAAACTACAGATCCCAGGATCCCATAGCATGTCAGTTAAAAGATGGGAGCTGTAGTTTGGTGAGGCACTCTTGGGCAGAAAGAAGCTAGAGGTCTGGTAAATAAAACCACAGATCCCATAGCATGGCAATTTAAAGATGGGAGCTGTAGTTTGGTGAGGCACTCTTGAGCAGAAAGAAGTTAGAGGCCTGGTAAACAAAGCTACAGATCCCATCATCCCATATCATRGAGCCATGACAATTCAGAGATAGGAGCTGTAGTTTGGTGAGGCATTCTTGGGCAGAAAGAAGCTAGAGGCCTGGTAAATAAAACCACAGATCCCATAGCATGGCAATTTAAAGATGGGAGCTGTAGTTTGGTGAGGCACTCTTGTGCAGAAAGAAGCTAGACGCCTGGTAAATAAACTTCAGATCCCATAACATGGTAATTTAAAGATGGGAGCTGTAGTTTGGTGAGACACCTGTGCAGAAAGAAGCTAGAGGCCTGGTAAATAAAACTACAGATCCCATAGCATGGCAATTTAAAGATGGGAGCTGTAGTTTGGTGAGACACCCTTGAGCAGAAAGAAGTTAGAGGCCTGGTAAATAAAACTACAGATCCCATAGCATGGCAATTTAAAGATGGGAGCTGTAGTTTGGTGAGGCACTCTTGTGCAGAAGGAAGCTAGACGCCTGGTAAATAAACTTCAGATCCCATAGCATGGCAGTTTAAAGATGGGAGCTGTAGTTTGGTGAGGCACTCTTGGGAAGAAAGAAGCTAGAGGCCTGGCAAATAAAACCACAGATCCCATGATCCCACAACAGGGTTAACTGAGGTCTCTCCCAGCATGGGCCAGCCTTGAAGGTGTGGCAGCTAAAGTGGGACCAAACTGGATTAATTCTCCAGTGTAGAAGGAGCAGGGTGAAGCGAGGTCCCTCCTCCTCCTTCTCCTCCTCCATCCCCTTTTGTTTCCCTTCAGTGCAGAGCCCTGATTCCCGCTCCCTCCCTCCCTCCCTCTCTCCCCTGGGGACTTACCCCCCACTCTCTCCTGAGGCAGGCGAAGGGCCCCCATGCCTGGCCCCCAGGCGGCGTGCTGGGCCCCCGGCGACGCAGCCATGCCCCCTCCCCGCCGGGCCCGGGCAAGAAGGGAGCCAGTCCGGCCTAGCGCCTCCTCCTCCGCCTCCGCCTCCGCCGCCGCCTTCCCTCCAGCTCCAGCATCGGCGGCAGCAATAGGGAAAGGGAAAGGGGAGGGGGCCACCTTTTGCAATCGGAGCGCAACCTAGCTCGCTAGGCTCCGGCAAGGAGGCGGGGCCTGGCGGGGAAGGCCGCGGAGGAGGAGGAAGCGCACGCCTAAGAGCAGCGCGAGGGAGATGAAGCCAGCCAATCGCCGCCATCCTTTCCCCCCTCCTGTCATTCAAGGTTGTATGCGAGGAAGAGCCGCTGCTGCTGCTGCTGCTGCTGTAGAGGCTGGCCGCATCTTATTCCATCAGTGTTGCCCAATCTCTTTCTTTTTTGCCTTCATCTCCCAGAATCCCTCATCATTGTCCCAAGCAGCGGAGGCTTCTGGGAATTGGAGTCCAAAACACCTGGAGGACCAGAATTTTGATTTACACCAGAAATGAATCCAACTTTTAACTACTCTTCTAGGCAACAACAACAAAACTTTATTTATATACCGCTCTATCACCCCGAGGGGACTCAGAGCGGTTTCCAAATAGCATAATCAATACATACAATACAATTTACAATACTTATATTTGAGTATATACGTTTGAGCCTGCCACTTTTGGACTCTTGCTTGCTGAGGTGTTCCAGCGAGTGTCTCTGTAGATCTTAGAAAACTATTTCTTGATTTAAGTCATTGACGAGCTGGCTGATACCCAAACAGGGGATGAATGAGCTGGAGATATCACAGCCTTGGTCCTTTCACTATTGGTTGCTACTTCTCAGCGGATGTCAGGTGGTGCAATACCGGCTAAGCAGTGTACATGAGAGAAGCCTCCTCGCAGGATTGCAAGACATCCGGGCATCCCCTGGGCAACGTCTTCGTAGACGGCTGATTCTCTCACTCCAGAAGTAACCAGAAGGAACTTACCTTAGCTAATGGGATTAACTTATTCCAGGGGGAGGGGGGGCTTCAGCCCCCCCCCCCCCAAATTCTCATGGTGGTCCGCAAGAAGGCCTTACTGGTGCATTATTTAAACTGTTATGTTTATTCATATCATGATCTGATTACCATACTCAATATATCCCATATGCATGGGGGTATTGGGGTAACAATACAAAAGGTTTGCTAGGCTAGACCCTCTTTCACTCAGACTCACCCCCCCCCCCCCCCCGAATCAAAATTGTGGCTACGGGCCTGTGTATACTTAAGATTAAGGTGTATTTGGTTACAAATTGGCCACCCCCTTTTTTTCTCTCTGTACTTGTATATTTATAATTTTACTCAGACTAGATGTATACTGTACATTGTGCTTATATTGTGTCCTATGATAAGGCCAATTGGCTGATCAAGGAAAACAGCATAAACATACCATTCACAAGACAATATAAGCATAAAAACCACAATAGCACATAAATATTTAAAATAATCCTGCCTGTTCAAGGCAATTTAAAAGGCCAGGCCGGGGCTAGTGCAATTGTAGAGGGTCCGGGAAATTAGGTAGGAATCTATGGCTGTACATTTCCAGGGCCCAGTTGAAGAACGTAGCCTGTGTAATTGGTAGAAAAAGATGTGGCCAATTTCAACGGTATCTGAGGCTAAGCTAGAACTAGTCCTTCTCAAAGGTTTGTTTAAACCACCAGATCTTCAGGCTCAGGAGGGGAGGGATGGGGCCTGTCTAGGAAGGGCGTTCCAGAGGCGAGGGCCACCACCGAACAGGCCCTATATACCCCAGGATCTGATCCCTGTTTTTCTGCTTTACACTAGCATCCCTTATAATAAATAAATAAAACTTAATTTATATACCGTTCTATCTTCCCAAGGGGACTCAGAGAGGTTTCCAAATAACATAATCCATACATACAAGGAAAACAGCATAAACATAAAATTCACAAGACAATATAAGCATTAAAAACCACAATAGCACATATATATTTAAAATAATCCTGCCTGTTGAAGGCAATTTAAAAGGCTGGACCAGGGCTAGTGCAATTTTAGAGGGCACGGGAAATTAGGTAGAGTCTATGGATGTACATTTCCAGGGCCTAATAGAAGAAAGTGACCTGGGAAATTGGTAGAAAAAGATATGGCCAATTTGGCTGATCAAGGAAAACAGCATAAACATACCATTCACAAGACAATATAAGCATAAAAACCACAATAGCACATAAATATTTAAAATAATCCTGCCTGTTCAAGGCAATTTAAAAGGCCGGGCTGAGGCTAGTGCAATTTTAGAGGGTCCGGGAAATTAGGTAGAGTCTATGGCTGTTCATTTCCGGGGCCTAACAGGAGGAGGTAACCTGGGTAATTGGTAGAAAAAGATGTGGCCAATTTCAACAGTATCTGGGGCTGAGCTAGAACTAGTCGTTCTCAAGGTTTGTTTAAACCACCAGATCTTCAGGCTCAGGAGGGGAGGGATGGGGCCTGTCTAGGAAGGGCGTTCCAGAGGCGAGGGCCACCACCGAACAGGCCCTATATACCCCAGGATCTGATCCCTGTTTTTCTGCTTTACACTAGCATCCCTTATAATAAATAAATAAAACTTAATTTATATACCGCTCTATCTTCCCAAGGGGACTCAGAGAGGTTTCCAAATAACATAATCCATACATACAAGGAAAACAGCATAAACATAAAATTAACAAGACAATATAAGCATTAAAAACCACAATAGCACATATATATTTAAAATAATCCTGCCTGTTCAAGGCAATTTAAAAGGCTGGACCAGGGCTAGTGCAATTTTAGAGGGCATGGGAAATTAGGTAGAGTCTATGGATGTACATTTCCAGGGCCTAATAGAAGAAAGTGACCTGGGAAATTGGTAGAAAAAGATATGGCCAATGTATTGTCGAAGGCTTTCATGGCCAGAATCACTGGGTTGTTGTAGGATTTGTTTTTTTGGGTGGTTATGTGGAGCCCCCGGTGGCGCAGTGGGTTAAAGCACTGAGCTGCTGAGCTTGTTGATCGAAAGGTCGCAGGTTCGATTCCGGGGAGCGCGTGAGCTTCCGCTGTCAGCCCTAGCTTCTGCCAACCTAGCAGTTCGAAAACATGCAAATGTGAGTAGATCAATAGGTACCACTCCGGCGGGAAGGTAATGGCGCTCCATGCAGTCATGCCGGCCACATGACCTTGGAGGTGTCTACGGACAACGCTGGCTTAGAAATGGAGATGAGCACCACACCCCAGAGTCAGACATGACTGGACTTAATGTCAGGGGACTACCTTTACCTTTACCTTTTATGTGGTCATTATTCTAGAGGCATTATCTCCTGAGGTTTTGCCTGCATCTATGGCAAACATCCTCAGAGGTAGTGAGGTCTGTTGGAACTAGGAAAGTGGGTTTATATATCTGTGGAATGACCAGGGTGGGAGAAAGAACTCTTGTCTGCTGGAGCTAGGTGTGAATGTTTCAACTGACCACCTTGATTAGCATTTGATGGCCTGGCAGTTTTTTTGGTATTTGTTTGTTAGTGCCTGGGGGGATCTTCTGTTGAGATTCAAGGAACATGAAAGGCACTGCAGACTACTTCAGCCAGAGAAGTCAGCCATAGCAGAGCACCTGATGAACCAACCTGGACACAGCATATTATTTGAGAACACAGAAATGCTGGACCACTCTAACAACCACCATGTCAGACTACACAGAGAAGCCATTGAAATCCACAAGCATGTGGACAATTTCAACAGAAAGGAGGAAACCATGAAAATGAACAAAATCTGGCTACCAGTATTTAAAAAAACTCTAAAATTACAACAGCAAAACAACAGAGAGGAAACAATCATGGGACATCTAATCACCTCTCAACAAAAGATTGCCCCAGGCACTGCCAGGCCATCAAATGCTAATCAAGGTGGTCAGTTGAAACATTCACACCTAGCTCCAGCAGACAAGAGTCCTTTGTCCCACCCTGGTCTTTCCACAGATATATAAACCCTTTTTCCTAGTTCCAACAGACCTCACTACCTCTGAGGATGCTTGCCATAGATGCAGGCAAAACGTCAGGAGAGAATGCCACTAGAACATGGCCATATAGCCCGAAAAAACCTACAACAGCTTAATTAGTGTTGTTGCCTGGAGGCATCCTTTGTATGGGAGGTGTCCACTGGCACTTGATTGGTGACTGAAGACCCACAGGTCGCAGGTTCAAATCCGGGGAGAGGCGGATGAGCTCCCTCTATCAGCTCCAGCTCCTCATGCGTGGACATGAGAGAAGCCTCCCACAAGGATGATAAAAACATCAAATCATCTGGGCGTCCCCTGGGCAACGTCCTTGCAGACGGCCAATTATCTCACACCAGAAGCGACTTGCAGTTTCTCAAGTCGCTCCTGACACGACCAAAAATGTTACTTACAGGTTCATGTAATATCACAATCATCCACTAGGTGGCATTCACAAACATTTTATTATTGCCAAATTTTTCGCAATCCCAACACTGAGCTAAGCAGAACCCCATTTGCGGTGAGGACCCACAGTTTAAGAAGCAGTGGCCTACAACACCTAATACGCGTTGGCAGCCTCCATCCACGTACTAACTGTTTAAATGCAAAAATGCTCCACACAAGAACAGTGCCTCATAGTGGCTGTGAGAAAAAATAGTAGAGAGGGGTCCAAATAATTGGGAAAGCTGAAAATGTCCCCCTCTTATGGTAACAATCCTACCCTGCTGTGATGAGATCAATATTCTCAGATCTTTCTGCTGAGAGAGGAGGAGAGGAAGGTGAGCGGCTTCTCCTCTCCTCTCTACACAGCAACCTAGGTAGGTCTCTGTGCCGAGAGGGGAGGAGAGGAAAGTGCATGGCTCATCAGCCACATATCTTCCTGCCGGGACGGTCCTAGCCTCTCCTCTTGGCATAGCAACCCACCTGGGTTGCTGTGCCGAGAGGAGAGGAGAAGCTGCTTCTTCCCACTCACCACAGTGACCCAATTTCAAAATTTATTTTGAAATTTACAAGTAGCTGCAGCATTTCTCACCCTAGGTTTATACTCGAGTCAATACGTTTTCCCAGTTTTTTGTGTTAAAATGAGGTGCCACGGCTTATATTCGGGTCGGCTTATACTCGAGTAATATGGGTGATTACATTTATATAGTCTTACAATTACAAATGGCCTTTTGAAAGCAACTATAAGGCTGACGTGGC